CTCAAATGTCCATTCTCAAGAGATTCTTCTGCTCAGCATATCCTTTTCCCTCCTGCACTAATTCAATATTGTTCACAGTATTTGTGAGATACAAATCTGGAGTCACTTGGCTCTTTGACATATAAAATATATATAAAATTAAACCAGTTAGATTTCTTTGACTATTCATGCCCTCAGCTAGTTCCTATTAACTTCAGCAAGTGCAGATTACTTCTAAACCCTTTTTAATGACTGTAAACAAAATACCCCTTCATGAGGCACTAAAAATAAATAGAAGTGTTCTTAAATATTTTCTAAATATATGTTCTTCATATGTTATCACACTGATATGCAGATTTGTGTTTTAAGAAAAAAAAAGAGATGTTTTTATATACAGACATATATGTCTATATAAGGCTGTATCAAGGTGTTTTGCATCCAGAATGAAATTATAGTTACTTAGAAACACCTTCTGCCAAGTATGAGATATTTACCCATCTAGTTACAACACATATCAAAGTGTACATTAATTATTTGTTCATTTTACAATTGCAAATATGTACTATGGTAACTACCTAAAACTATTCTAAAGTGTTCAGTGTGAGTAAAACAGACTGACACAAATACAAGTTACAGAAAAATAAGGAACCTTACTTGTTTCTCTAGCTGAAGAAAAGTGTTGCATAAAACCAGTGTACTCTGTTGTTGGCTTAATGGATCCACTTCCTCTTCAACTACCCCCAGAAAGTCTAACTCTTTGCTAATTCACCAAGTCCTGCATGTAAACCTTTAATGTGGGTGACACAGGTATAAGAAAATAAATGCATCTATATCCTGCATGCTTGCTGGATATTCACCTTATGATCAAAAAGATATTTCCACATAAAACTGGTTGCCATTCATGCTAATTCAAATGGCTTACCTTCTGCCTGTTTCCTTTGGTAACGCATAGATAAAAGGACAGTCATATCAGGCAACTCTCTTCACTGACACAGCTGCTATCTCAAACATAGGAAACACCTACCTCTTCAAAAAAACATGTTTTGCACACAACACAATACATGCAAATATGCCACAAAATAGCAAATAGTCACATACCTCCAGTACTTAATTTGGACAAGGTTTATAGATATGTAGGCACAGCTAGTCAGCTAGCATGATACTACCAGATTACTTTTTTACTCAAGGCATTTCCCACTGAGAAAATAGAGTATAATATATAGAGTGTAGAGGCAAAGGATGTCCAGGATTGAAGGTTTAGGGCTACAACCTATTACGCAGGCTCAAATTCTGCTTACTAAGACTATGTAAAATCACCATGGACAACGAGCAAAATCGTACACATAAGAACTAGAGCACATCACTCTTATGAGTTAACAATATGTATGCACATACATGCTTAAAATACAATCATGGAGAATACTGTACATTTTGTTTGGCATATACCAATATAAAACATTAAGACACCTCTTTTTTTTTTTTTTTTTTAATTATAAAAACAATGTAAGTGTTTTTACAGCTAACAGCAAACAATGGATGGATATTAACAACTGTAAGCTCTGGAGAACAATCATAGGGTTTTACAAAGTGTTCAGCAGTAATGAAATCCAGAAGAATTTGGAAAATACATGAGATTAAAACCAAATTCAGTGGAAGACTGAATTTGTTCCGAAGTGCCTTAAAACATTACAGCCAAGTTGTGCTAGTCAAACTACTATACTCTAATATGCTTCAGTGCGTATTTCTGATTTCTGGCTTTTCAGAATTACAATAGCAAAAACCAACTACTTTGTCCTGTTCTAATCTGTTCTGAAAAGTTAAGCAATGATGTACAATAAAGTACCTCAAAGTGGAATTTTAATGTTTAATCACAGAGAGCGTTTATTTTAAAACAAATACTTAAAAATAATCTTAGCATGCAGTAAAAGCTTTCCATAAATGACTTAACATTTTAAACTCTTTGATGCCACGCAAAGTAAAAAGATATCATCATCAATATACAAAAAGGGTGTACCAAGCACAGTGTATATGTATGCGTGTGTTCCTGTTACACAGTAACAGTTAGGAGGAAACTAACTCACTTTGCAAGGAAGCACTGTATCCTGAACAAGCTGAGGGGGAAAAACGTTCTCTTCTGATCAAAAAATGTTAATTTTTTCCTTATATTTGCTACATATGTGTATTTGTATGTATGTAGATCTAAATTTTGAACAAGTATAAGAAAACAATCTAGCATAGATATGCTTACTTGTGTCTTAAAACCTTATGAGTTAGTAATACCTTCTACTTTATACTTCTAACAAGTCTGAGGAACATGCATGGTCAATTAACATGGCTCAACTGAAACTACACTAGTACTTTTCTTAAGGGCCAAATGATATGCCTCAGTTGCCTATTCGAATGCCTTCAACCCACTTAGGCATTTAAGTCACACAATACTTTAAAAAGTGCAACTGAGAAGTAGGCACTTTTGAAAAAATGAAAAAAACAAAACACCGAAACAAACATATCTGCCTACATTTACATAAAATAAAATTAAGGAACAGAAGTAATTTAAGTTTTGATGGGAGACACATGTAATGGGACAGTAAGGGTCTCTTCAATTTAAAAACAAAACAAAACAAAAAACCTCAAAGATGACCTTATGCAATTTCAGGTGGTTTTCATGATACCAGCCTCACCATTTCTAATGACTACTTTTCAATTCTAAAATGGTTTTGTCTGTCTCACAGCCATGTGAATGATCCACACAGACAATCCAAACTTAATAACTAAGCAACTGCCTATGCTGGGGAAGCAGTGAGAGTGACTGAAAAAAAAAAAAGTGCTGTCAGATACCTAAAATAAACCCACTAATGAAGTAGTTTTCCTCAAAATTTGTTTATAAATTGAAACTTGAATCTCTACCCAATCCCACGACTCAAACAGTGGTTCACCACTATACTGCATTTTACAAGATGAGATCATTAAGTGTTAAACCAAACAGCTGCACATGCACACACACTTTCAGTCAAACATATGACAGAGGCTGACAAATCAAAAGACGAAAAACGTGTGCACAGTTAACAATTTCTGCACTGGTTTTATTACCCAAGTATACAGATACGCTGTGAAGTACGAGCACCTGAACATTCACCCCTCTTGGTCTCTAGCACATCATGCTTCTGCCTTCACAAACGTGTCAAAACTCTCGGTTTGCACTGTTGACGATGAATGCAAAAACCTTTCATGCAAGCACTCAAGAGAGTTTTCCCCAGCACTTCCTAGGGGTCAGTTTCTCCTGTTCTCCCTTAGGTCACCACGTACCCTTTGGTCCAAAGCAACGCCACAAGAGGACCCCAGTCTACCACCACCCACCCCTACACACTTCATGTTACCAGTGGGAGGACCTTGAGAAGCAGTACAAGCTAGGCATTACTGATTGCAGAAGTGGATCTCTTAATTCCTTCTCTGTGTAATATATACTCTTCTCATATAGTAAATTTCATACATTTTGAAAACTTTGGAGAAGCCTCTAGCACTACTGCAAAAAAAATCAGGAAAATACAGAAACAATTTGGACTTGAGTAACAAGTCAAATATGCCAGCTGCCTCTCCTGAGGCAAATGTATATCATCAAGTGATCATACTTAAACATCTGTATAATCAAGCAAAGGCAAGCTATCTACCCCCTATTTTATCTTCTTTTTGAACCTTGGAACTGTCACAGCATGCACTTCCACAAACCAAAATTAGGCCAAAATGAGACAGAACGTTATTACTGGGAGTGCTGAAACCGTCTCCAGCACTACCTTCCCACACCAGTTAAGGATCCCAACATCTTTCTCCATATCCAGAAGACAAGCTGCAGGGAATAGCATATTCATATGGAGGCACTAAAACGTATTCTGACTTTTTCTTTCAACTCTCCTTACCTCATTGAAAAGGCAGTTTACTCCCCCAGTATAAATCACTACTTCCATATACAAGGCCCAAGACAAAAATCTTCAGCATAAACATCCCGCATCCACTTGGAACATCCTCACCCATCCACACACCAGACAGTGGTGCAGACATATTTCAAGGCCTGCAAGTCACAGGCAGAAGCCGTACTACCATGGGAGCTACACGACACAGTAGAGCACACTGGATACGGACAGTTGTTATTTTAATTCAAAAGGCGTACTTTAACACAAGCCAAATTTATATTAGATAAACACCGCCTCTGCCTACTTGTGGCTCTAAAATAACCACTTCTGTTTTAATTAAAGAGAAATGACACAATAGGTTTTATTTCCTGATCAGTGGGTGGATTCCGAAGGTATCAAAGATCCTGTCGTTCTCCTGCATACTTCAGGTTACTCCACAGCTTCCCCCGTGCATCTGGGGCTTTAGAGTTCCTGTTTCCTTCTAAAAACGGGTCTACAATCTGGGTGTAAGCCCCTTACCCCAGTTTACCTCATCAAATAAAAATCACAATTAAAAGGAAAACAAAACAAAACAAAAAAAACCGCAACCAGCCAGCCGACAACCTTCCTGAGGCACACAGAACAATGCAGATACTAAACCCGCCACCATCGATCCGCACAGCAACTCCCTCTGCGAGTCCCCTCGTTCATCTGCCGCCTTCCCACCGTTCTCCCACACATACCGCCGCCGCCCGACCCCCGCCCCGCTTCCCCGCTCTACCCTCCAGCCCCCCCCGCCCCGCACCAAGCCCACCCGCAGCGGCCGCGGCCGATCGCCCCGCCGCCGCCGCCGCCGCCGGCGATACCCGCGGCCGGGCACACGCGCCCCGCCGCGGCGGGGGCTCGGCCTGCGGCTCCCCGCGCCGGAGGCGGCGAAGCGCCCGGGGCCAGCCCAGCCGGCCCCGCCGCCGCCGCCCCGGCCCCGCCGCCGCCCGCCTCGGCCCCGCTATGTAACGCGGCGGCGGCGGGGGGGAGCCCGGGGCGGCGGCGGGGCCGGTGGGTGCCCGGGCTGCAGAGCCCCGAGGCGAGGCGGCCGGGCCGAACCGGGCGGCGGCAGCCCCAGCCCGCACTCACCCAGCAGCAGCAGCTTCAGCTCCCGGCGGGCGTCCCGCTTGTCCCGGCGCAGCTGCCGCTCGATCTCGTCGTTGATCCGCCGGGCTTCCTTGGCTTCCTCGCTCAGGCAGCACGCCATGATGGACTCCAGAGTCATTCTTCCTAACTGGTTCAGACACAACCCCCACCCCCCCCCTAAAATCGCACGCACACTCACACACACACACGCACCCCGCCGCCGCACCGGCCCCGGGGGGCACAGGCGTTCTCTGCCCGGGAGCCCCCGCCGGGCGCCGCAGGGCAAGCGCAGGCAGCCGCCTCGATGCCACACAGGAGCGAGGAGAAAGAGGCCGGGCCGCGGGCGGCGCGGATCCCCGCTCTGCCGCCGACACCCGCCGCTGCCAACTCCTCCTCTCCTCTAAATCATGCACCAAACAACATGGAAACATCCACCGCGGCGGCGGCAGCAGCAGCAGCGCTACCCAGCCGAGCCGAACCGAGCCGAGCCGCTCGCCACCGCCGCCCCTCGCCCTGCCGCTCGCCTTCCCCCGCCGCCGCCCGCAGCCAACGCGGTCCCCGAGTGTCCCTGGCGGGCGACACCCCCGCCGCCGCCGCCGACCACCCCACCCCCCCCTCCCACCCCCCCCCCGCGGAAACGCTAACGCCCGCTAATCCCTCCGCCCCTCCGCGCACACATTTCCCGGCCGCTCCCCGTGCCCTGGAGCGGCAGCCCGGCTCCTGCGGGGTGGGCGAGCCCGACCGCTGCCCGGCGACCGCGGCGCACGCCCGGCGGGAAGCGCTTCCTCACGGCACAGCCCTCCTTCCCGGCGCGGCGGCCGCCGGTCCCTCTGCCGCTGGCGGGGGGGGGGGGGGGGGGCGCGGGGAGCCGCTGCCGCAGAGCCGCCGCCGCCGCTCGCCCCGTCCCGGCCAGTGAGGCGGAGAGAGGGGGAGGGCGAGCAGGGAGCCGCCGGAGAGGAACAGGCGGCAAGAAAGGCAGGCAGGGGCCGGGCGAGCCCGGCTTTTCAATCGTTCGGCTCCGCGGGCGTGGTGAGGCAGAAATATGGCGGACCGTCTCTCCCGCTCTCCCCCCGCGCCGCCGCACGCCGGGGGCGAGCGGCCGGGGGAACCGGGCCCCCCCCCCCCCCTCCTCTCGGGATGCTGCCCCCGCCCCCAGCCGGGCCCGGCGCCCCAAGGCCGCCCCCGCCCGCCCCGCGGCGATGGCGGAGGGCAGGGGAGGGGAGAGGAGGGGAGATGGGGGGGAGAGTGGAGCGAGCGGTTGCTCGCACCAAATGGCCGCGCGGAACGCAGCCTGCTCCGGTTCGTCCTGCGCCGGGCGCTGTGTTCGCTTTCGCCGCCTTTGTTTTTAGCCGGGGGTGTGGGGGACGACGACGACGACGACACGCTTTTATTCCCTGCCCGTCCTAGAAGGGACGGCTTGGATTGCGGGGCTGGGGGTGGGGAAGGTGGCGGCTGGGAGTGCCTCCTGCCCCTTCGGCCGGCACGGACCCACGCACGGCAGAGCGGGACCCACGCACGGCAGCACCGGGCGCTCGTGGGCTTTCCCGCCCGCAGTCCGGACGCCCTGCCCGAGGGCTTCTGTCACACGCCGGGGGAAGCAAAGGCCGTCCGCCACGAAGGCGGCGGGACAGTTGCGCGCCCCGCGGGACGGCGGCGGTACGCGGCGGCTCATGCCCCGCGGCTCGGCCAGCGCTGCCGGCTGCCAGCCCTCGCCACAGCCACAGCCCCACTCGCGTCCAGCCCCCGCCCCGAGAAAGCTGTCCCCACGCAGACCCCAGCAGCCCCCAGGGTGACGGAACACAGTCAGAGGGGATGCGTTGACGCGGCTTCTAGCTTTTGTGGATTCATAACCCCCTCGCAAAATTCCCACACCTGCCCTTCCCTTTGCCCACCTGCACGTTAAACTATCGGTATCCGGGATCGTTGCAAGATCTGCTGGGGAACTCGTACCAGCCTATGTAGAGGGTAGTGGGGTAGAGGGGCACAACACTCCCTTTCTTCTAGTTTAGGGTTTGATGTCCTTTCCAGCACCTGTTGACATCAGTTTTGGCACTGACACACTCTTTCCTAAAACTCTTCGTAGGTACTTACAATATGAATTAAGTAACGTCTGCCATAGAGAGTAAGACTAGGAATAAATTAAAAAAATAATAAAATAATCAGGAAAATAATACATTCAATCAATTCTTAGAGCACAAAAAAAAACCCCTTAATTACTTTCAAAAAGTATGTGATTTCCACCGAGATCTATATTGTATCAGTATGTATAAAAAAGGTTAATACAACTTGGAATCTTTTTTATAATTACGTTTCTTTATTCCAGAAAATTAATACAAGGGTGGTGGTCAAAATTGTGTAATTTGGTTATTAATAATAAGTTGTATTTCATTCAAAGCATCTTCTCTATTTTAAAACCTATAGGTACATAGGTATATCTATGTATTTATCTATCTCGTAGTCCCAGATCAATGCATTAATACTAAATCAAATCAAGATTTCTAAAGATTGAATTACAGAGATGGCTTATGTAAAAATGTGAATAAGTAACAAAAGGGGGGGGGGGGCAGAATTTCTTCATGAAATTAATTCTCAACATACCAGAGAATGTTTTCTTCTAAAAGCTGGGGCCTAAAAGGGTGAAGATGGACGCATGGTACAGGTCACAAGAGCTACTCAATGGATATTTTGTGTCTGGAACTCGGGTACAGGGAGTGCAAGCCCGCAGCAACCATCTTCTGGCATCCCATCTAAAGAGAGGATATGAAAGGGTCAATGAATTTGCAACCTTTGGGTGAACTGTATCAAAAGCCCCCCCAAAATTAAGGGCATAGCCGTTCTATTAAAAAGTACATGCCTCAGACAATACTGTAGCATTCCTCAGTAGATGAAGTCTGACTCAACTTTTTTAACCAACTCTTTTATATGCTCAGTATAGAAGGCATGAACGCAGTGTGTACCTCAAATACAGAACTGTCATTTAATTTTGCATTTTTAACGAGAAAAGACACTCCAGGGACCATAAATTTAAACCGTATGTACCACTCCAATTGACATCATTGGATTTTAAATCTCCACTGAATAAATATCTTCAGATTTTTAATGGATGAGCCATCTAGTCCTGAATCTGGCATCAGCAGATAGCCATTACACAGTTTTACCCATTTGCTTTGTGACTTAGTGGAAGTTAGAACAAGCCCATTAGGGACAATTACATGCTAATAAACCTATGAGGAAATTTCTTTCCAGCCCTCAACTCCATAATGGTTGGCTTTTGTTTTGAAACACGAAACATCCTTTATAAATATTTTATCCTAATATGAACTATCAGTAAATGACAGACACCATTATTGCCCATACAGATAATTATTATCCACAGATACTATCCATACTGTTACCTAATCCTGGACAGATACTTCCTGATAAACCGCTACCGTAGTATTAATAATCTCATATTCCTCTATCCAAATAGTCACCAGTGCACGGCTCATAGCAACTCGTTGCCTGTGAGATGTTTTAATGTTGCTTACTGCCACAGGAAATTAAAAGTGAGACTGTCAGAGGGAGCAAAGAATGATACTAAACACCCTGCATCTTCAGTATTCTCGCTCAGAAGCCAGCAAAGACTGGGGAACGGAACCACCACTCTGTTTTATCTTCTCCTTATCATTCTTTGCACTAATCTATCCCAGTTTTTAATTTCTTCCTTCCATATGCCTGAAGATATTTATCGTCACTCTCCTCTGTCTCTTCTGCTTGAGATAGGTTTTCTGTGATGTTTTGACAGATTTCAAACAGTATCTGAACTCGGTACTCGCATGAATGTAAAACAGCCGATCATGTGTAGCAACATCACAGGATTTTTGTAGCTAGTCAGCATCCCACCATAAGCAATGGAATATTTTGCAAGTGCTTTTTCATTGCCATTGTGCATCAGGAAGATGTTTTCACAGTGCCATGCACAATACATCTCAGTCATATTCGTGAGCACTTACAGTTAATTTAGAGGCCATCAGTATGTCTGAGTAGAGCAAATTATCCTTCCAGTACGCCATCTGAATCAGTTTTTGTTTTGGTTTTTTTTTTTGTTTTTTTTTTTCTTTTTAGAACATCAAATTGTATCTGCTGATTCTCTACTGTTAAATGAATACCATCCAGTATTTGCAGCTTCCTTCAACTGATATAAACAGTTTGTTCCAGTATGTGGTGGGGGTTTTTTTTGCTTTTTTTTTTTTTTTTTTTTTTTGACAAATGGCATTCTGAAAGTTTCCCAGTGTTATTTATTTAAAAGTAAAAGCTGTCTGCCAAGGTCCTTCAGTACAGACGAATGACTAGGGAAGGGTTAAACTCCCTACTTGTTCTTTTGATTCATATGAAATTTTTAAAATTTATTTCCTTTTACCTATTTGCACGTCGAGGTTCTTACTGACGACTTATGTCGGAAAAAGGACGGGAATTGTTTGGTATTCTTTTTCTCTTGAAGTGCTCTCTTGATCCTACTGTTTTTTCCTGCGGGGAGATGTTCGGCAGAGAAGTGCGGTGCGTGCAGCATCACCTCCGCGCACACCCTGCGCGCTATAGCACGCTATACAGAGCCCCAGCACACTTTCATCCTTTCCTCCGCGGCCTCGAGTACCAGATACTCCTTTCTCTTTACGAGGCGCCTTTATCAACACTTTTCAGTTTCAAGGTGTTCGCCGCAGCCTACAAAACTCCGGTGGGCGCCCCGCCACAGCCCCAGTGGGTAGCGCCACAGCATCCTCTCCCGCCGTGGCAAGGCGAGGCGGGGAGCGCGATGAAGCGGGCGAGAGGGAGGCTGCCGGGCAGGCGCCGCTCGCCCCGCACGGCCTCCTGCGCGGTGCGCAGCGCCAGACCCCACGCAGCACGGCGGTGCCGGGCCCTGCGAGGAAAGCAGGGCCGGCGCGCCGAGGTCTTGCGTGGATCCCGGCGGGAGAATTCGCTTCCTGAGGAACGCTGAGCGCCTGCCGCCACAGCGCACCCCCCACACACACACACACCCCGCGTGAACGCAGAGACGCGGCCACAGCTGCCGCGGGGACCGCGCGGGCGCTACGGCACGGCGCGCGCGCCACCCACGCCGCGCGCCCCGCGCCCGGGGCCGCGTGGGGGGTCCGCCCGCTCGCGGCGCGGCGGCGCCCCCTGCCGGCCGGAAGAGGCCGCTCCCCGGCTGCCGGCGGGCCGGCGCAGCCGCGGCCCCGGGGGCGCGGGGGGCCGGGGGGCAGCGGGGCGGGTGGCGCTGCCCGTTTCCTTCGCCCCCGGCGCTGCGGGGCGGGAACGGTGGCATCTCCCCACCGTCTCCTCGGCCGGGGTACTCCGGTGAGGTCGGCACCGCTGCGCGCCGGCGCCTGTCGGCGGCGCGGCGAGGGGCCGCCGCGCGCTGCCGTTGCGCGGGGCGCGGCCGCCCCTCGGGCTGCGCGGGCTCCGCCGCAGCGCCGGGGTCTGCCCCGCCGCAGAACGGGGCGCGCCGGACAGCCGCCGCCAGAAGGCACCCACCCACCCTTCGGGGACGGGAGAACGTTCTCCGTCAAGTCACACCTCGCGGCCTGCCATTTCTCTCCAGATGTGTGTGCTGACGAGTGGTAGGTTGA